ATAGTATCCATGTGTCGTAAACCCTGCGCTTCAAGGGGAGGCGACAGCCTCCGATAGAGACCAAACACCTCCTCAAAGCTGGCCACGAAGCTTTCACACACAATTTCGCCACCAAATGTCCCAAGGAAGTCCAGTTACATAATTCTAATCGAAAGCGATAATTCACTTCAGCGCCGAAACGCCTCCGGCTGAAGCTCAACGACAGCGGAGCGCTGGTCAACTTGCCCGCTGTCATTTCAAACGGAAGCTGCGCAACAACCCAAGGAACGTACAATCATTTTTCACACGAACGTTTCAAAATGAAACCGAAAACGGGAAATGCTTACCGGTTCCGTTGGGGCGGAAAAAGCAACCAGCTCCTAACAGTAGGAAAGATACAGTACGCTGGCTGCTTTTAGGGCCTACTGCTCCTCGTTTCACACTGTGCTCGAGCTCGTGGAGGAGGTGGGGCTCGAGCGAGTGGGCAGGAGTGACTGACGCGTCGGCTCAGCCAATCACAAATCGATGGAGGCAAAATAGTAGGGGCCGGGCGGAGGAGAGGTTGGGCGGCACGATTTTGAAACTGAGCGAGTGACGAAAATGTTGAAGACAGCGGAGAATACGAATCCCAGGGGAGAGGTTTAGCGTCAGACAAGTGGTGAATGGTCAGGTGACCTCCAGGCTGTGTCAACGTCAATTAATGTTGTGTGTTAATACGTGGGTTTAAATGAGGCTACTGGTGCGGAAAATGTTGTAACGTTTCTGTGTTTTATCCGCACTCTCTAATTTGGTTTCAGTGAGGAATTTCAATTTTCACAGCAACTTGTCCCTTAGTTAAATGCTCAATATAAGCTGCTTCATTACGCTGATACGTAGCATAGGATAGATGATAGGATAGATTAGATAGACTATTTTATTTATCCCCAGGGAAATTCAAATATCCCAGTGGCACACAAAACATACATTACATACATTAAACATACATTGAAATAAATACAAATTGCCTATAACACAGTAGCCACCATTAAACAGTGCAAAACAGTAAGCAGTGCAAATAGGGAGGTAGAAATTGTCACTTTAGTACGTATTGTCCTCGCCTGCCCTTGGACTAAGAGTTTGTTGTTCTGGTCTGATGGCCAGGGGGACCGAAAGAAGTTTTTCGAGTCTGTTGGTGGAGCTGGATTGGGAAATTGAGAAATTGCAACTAGCAAAAACAAGGGTAGCTTGTTTCAACAGGACAGATACAATGCCACCTGTCTTTGTAAACCTCTGCCCATAACACACACCTTTGTACTACATAGCCTATAGGCGAAGCTTTTGAAAAACAAGTTAGGCAATATCAGAGGTCAGATAAAGTCATGGAGCATTATCTGACCTCTGATGTTGCCTATTTCTTATCTTAATGTAGCAAGCTCCCGCCTCCAGAAATATTAGGTATGAAACTACAGTTATTTTTTATTGCGTGATGTGCCTAAGTGACTTCATTCAGTTGCTGGTTTTCTTTGAACTACACTCCAAAACCTAAAGATATTCTGTTTATTATCACTAAAGACAAGGAAAAGCAGCAGTTGTTACCTGGAACTGGGGAATGTTTAATATTTTTTTTGACGATTAATCAATTATCAAAATAGGCCTAGTTGCTGATTATCTTCCTATCAATCGACTAATTGGTTAATAAACTAATTGTTTATTGTTGTAGATTGTACAACACCAGTTTGTTCATAGGTAAAAGCCAGTGGGTGTTGAGATACAGTATGTCTTAATAATCTGTCTGCTCCAGTGACAGATTGTTTGCTGCTTTTCCTCAGACATTCTGGTTGCAAAAGATGGCTTTACCCACAAGTGCTGACTGTTTGCTGAAATGATGAGTAAGTGAGAGAAGTTGTGTGATGGCACCCAGACGGAATGAGTGAGTGGGTGAACCAATGAGCATGTGTTTTTTGTGTTTCTACTTGCTGTCCGTCTTTCTCTGATTAAGTAATGCTTCTCATGTCTTCTTCGGAGAAAGCTCGGCTAAATCCGTTCACCTCTGTTGTCCTTGTAGCACTCTGAACCACCTTCATGCCTTGGATTTGTTTAGCCAACAAAACAAATTTCCTCCTTTGCATGGGCACGAGGCTGTCACTTCCTGCCTGGGCTTATTTCTATGGCAACAGAGGGAAAGGAAAACATAAAATAGGGGGAAGAAATGTCTTTGAAAGAGAGAGTTGGAGTTGGGTGTGTCCAGAAACTTAACACCGACAAAACTAATGGCTGTATTTTTGGAGTTTAGAGGAATGTCGGCTACTACGTCAGAACTGACTGACTGTGGGAAAATGGATATTGATTGCTGACATGCAGAGGTGTGATGCTGGAACACATAGGAAAAATAGATTGTTATCAGTGTATGTATTACAGATCTTTTCATGATCAAACCCAGGTAGATTCCCTTGTACCTACTGTACCTGATCAGTGCAGCGCCCAGGGGACACACCCTGGCATACCATACAGGAGACAGACTAAACCACGCCTGTCTACACACACAGATACAGTAAGGTACCAAACCTGAAAATGTAGCAGGCATTGAATGCTGACTCTCAAACATTTTCAACTAAAAGCACAATTTAAGTCTTACTTAAAAAGGGAATAATGAAGGTGAGACAGTCATAAATAAGACAATGCAAATGAAGCTGATACATGACACTTGTAAGTCTGTGTATGCCAGGATAGCTATTTATATCCCCTATCACCTTCCTGTCACTTACACACAGGCATACACACTTACTGTACGAGCAGATTATGTATTACAGTGTCATCTATAGGTCAGATATGGTTACTGCACACTAAGCAGCTCATGTTCATGCAGGAAACTGAAACGCTGCTCGCTGCACTGCTGCTCATGTGGACTTGTGTTTAACAAAGAGACAGAGGACATGGGTAGCGTGAAGGGCCCTAATGCTGTTTAAACTGCGTATAAAGGTCTGTCATTTACTTGGATCCGTGCACTGTGCAATTTGACCTTAAATATAAAGGGAGGAGGAGGGGGGGATGAAGAGAGACAACACCCTTTACCTAGAGGACCTCTGTCTTAGAAGTCCTTGAGCAAGACACTGACAGGATCCTTGTTCATGACCTGAAAGGGGGGGTTGATAGAGCCCCCCCTTTCCCCACTCTCTGTGTATTGTATATGTGTATTGGTGCTCCGTAATTTGTTTAACTTGATTAAGCACTGTATATTTAGTGGAATACAACATGTAAGCTATTGATATTATTCTCACATCATACGGTAAACATGAATCTACACCCAGCAGCATCTTATCTTTAGCACAAAGACAGGAAACAGCTGTTTAATCCAGTTTTTTTATGCAGAATGCAAACTTCATTTTATGTTGTTTGTCTAAACTCTATAAAAAGACACATTATGGTTACATGGGGGGCTGTGTCTCTCTTGGCCAGGCTTCAGTTTTTGTATGGATAAAACAAACTAAAAATAACATGTTAATTAGTGAGCTTTTAGAA